AATTTCCAAAAGGTCTTATTAACTTGTTTGTATTTTCATCCTTAATGAATGAATGAATGAATGAAAAAGCGTGACAAAATAGAGTAAGAGCCCTAAACCCTGTTCTACAGGAACAGAAGAAGGTATTGTCAAAGGGAATAGAACAATTACATGATAAATACTGCTCTTTATTCTTCAAATATATTCCTCTCTAATTTCACTGCAGAAATTTTGCTAAACAATCAACAGAAAAAATAACCATTCAGTGCCAGCAGTTGGAATGTGATGTTAATTTTCAAACTCTAACAACTAGAACCGAACAGAACTCGTCCACTTGTCAGCGGAACTATTTACCCGCTGCCATGTCTACACGGACAACAATAACGACAGGCATTCACCGCACTTCCGTTGCCCATGACACCGGAGCGAAGTTCTGACAGCTGATTCTCAAATCAGTTTCTGTCCTCTCCGAGCCTCCAAATCACCATTTCTGAGCTTCTTTAGTGTCGGACGTGGCTGCTCGAGTCTCCACTTGGAGTTACAGACGGCGCCTTGACCAGAGGAGGGCGGCTGATTATGGTGTAGCACAGAGCGCTAGCTCTGAGACAGCAGGTAACCAGCGGCGCTCGGATAACACACAAGCTAACAGCAGCTAGCAGGGACACTTTGTCAACAACTTCTACCTGCGTTTTCAACTGTCTAGAACAAGTGACATTTCTTCGTGCTCTCGCCCATGTGTGTGAGGAATAGCCCTGAGCTGAGACCGGCGTTCGGCTCGGACCCTGTGCTTAGCTAGCTGTGATTAGCACTGGTGGCGGTTTGTTATGACGGCAACTTAACGAGCTAACAGGGCAGTGACGAGGCGGTGGCTGCACTGGTAAAAGTTTTAGCTTTAATCCTGAATCTGATTCACTCGCGTCCAACTCCTCAAAAGGTTTTGTCCTATGGGCTGAGCTGTTGTTTTTGTCCAAGAATTATAAACGGTTGTTCAGTTAATGTCAACTGTGGGGTACATGGTGCATTTTAAAGACTGCAGGTAGGCTGCACAGATTATTTCTGATCAGTGTGTGAATTTTTTGAGTATTTGTGCTTATAGAAAATAATCTTAATAAACTGTTTAAAGATTTCTAGTCCGTGGTAAACCCAAGGGAATCTTAGATGCATGCACAGCAAGAAGAAACACAGCACTTGTCTTTTTTTCATTTGGGTGTGTTTATTTGCTCGATAACTCGTGTATCATTCTATATTCATGCTTACACTACATAGACCTGCTGCTTCCCCTACAGCTATCTGACTAACATCCAGGCTCTCTTCTGCCAGGACGCGGTGACTGACAGCTGAGGCAGGTGGGCGTTGAGTCAGGCTCACTGACACACATTTCATGGGCCTCGCTTGTAACTGACACTTTCACTCTCGGCTTCCTGCTTCTTCTTAAATAAGCTCAACCAGTACTCAGAGTGGATACACAGAGTACAGTGACATCAGTGGACTCCTCCCTTAGAGAGGCTGAAGCACTGCTGCACTGTCTGTGAAACTGTACCACACGAATACAGTGGTAGTTACATGGCACGCAACATTCTCAAAAGAGCACACGTTATCAGTGGGCTCAGTGAAGCTGAACTGTATTACACTCACTGAGTGTTACAAGTTGTCTTTCAAAGCAAATGTTCTGCCAGATTTGGCCACGACTATAGATTATTTAGTCCCATGTTGTGAATCATAGTGGGTGAAAACCTTCATCCAGAATGCCTCATGACTTTTTCCTAACAGCATGACATTGATCAAAAAAAGCACAGAGTGTTCTTTTATGTATAGCTNTCGTAGAATAAATGCAGATGTACTTTTTGCTTTGTCCTCACTCAATTCTCCACTGAGCAACAAAAGCAACGTGTGAAGTGGAGTGAGTGAACACAGCATTGTTGCAGGGGCAAATCCAAACGCATGAGCGTCGCAGAAAGCCTGATGGCCAGCACCTGTCTAAACAGATGCAGATGAAATACAATATGATCACTCAGTCCAACATTAATAGGCCTCACTTTTTAAAAAACCTTCACATAACAGACAGGTCAGTCAAGAGCATGTTCTTGTTTACTCCTAAGTCCATAACAACTGGCTGAGTGAATCACAGTTTAGTCCAAATACTGGAGGCTGATTTGGATTTGCTCCAAGAAGTGAATGAGCTGTTCTGTGAAACAGGGAGAGTCGGTTTTTACAAATGGTCCTCTCTTTGTGTGTGTAAAACAGGCAGATAGGAGATTTTGATCATGTGAATGTTTCGTTTTAGGCAGCACATTAGCGCTATTGTACATGTCTATTTTGATTTATTTTTGGTTTATTTTATTTTGTTTATCCAATTATTGATTTACGTCTGGAAAACTCATTTCTGTGTATCAAAGTTCCATATTTAGATTTTTCAAGAAAGTTATCCCTTTCTGCCTTAAAATGGCGAAGATGTAGCCACACCTATGCTTCCTCTATGAAGTCCCTGCCACTCTTTCTACTCATCCCACCCCACTGACTGCAGCTGGAGCACACCAGCTCACCTATGACTCTGCTCAAATATGTGAAACTACTGCGTAATTAAAAATAACAGTACAAATCAAACCAACCAAAAATGTTTCCCCATTGTGATGCCATAGAAGAACCATTTTTTCAATATATTTACACCAATAAACTTCCTTTAAGAACCCCCAAAGGTGAGAACCAGCAAAAAATGGTTCCATAAGGATTTGTTCCTTTGGTTTGTTACGTATGAAACCCCAGAAGTCTAAATCTGTGTTTTTGAGACTGTCGTCAATACACTGAACTTTCAAGGTGTA